TGATATTACTCTAGAGAATATTGAAAATTTCGATTCTGTGGCTATATTTATATTTAATTTATACGAAGAGGGAAAAAACAAAAGTTATATAAACTTCTGTACCTATAAATTGATGCTGTAAAAGGAAAACAAGTGAATCGCGCCGTAACAATTGAAGTAAGTATAAATAGCTGTTAACAATTGAACTAAGTCAATTGCTTGTTAATAAATAAAACAAGTGAACACGAGAGCAAACAAAAACAAAACGCTTCTCGATCTTTCCGATGATAGAAAATAAATATGACTTATCAGGAGTGTAATGTAATAGAAATCTGGGTGCAAAGCTCCCATCAGTTCGACTTAATGGAGTTGATGGTTTCTATTGGAGTACAAATCCGTCGAAACTCTTCGAGAGAGGAAAATGCTTTTTTCCTCCGTTGAAGATTAATCGAGCAACTTTGCAAGCGGTTTTCCGGAAGGTAGGTAGGTGTACGGACGACGCACAGACGCCGGACGCCGTCAATAGTTCATTCTCGAGGCGTTTGATGGGCATTTTTTCTTCGTTTTATTTATCGAAAATTGAATTTATGATTACATCAGGTCTCCGGCGTCCTCCACGTCTCTGCAACCTGTTATTACGTTCGGAAAGCGGTATATTTATTGATTGACGTCTTTTGTTTCCGGTCTTAGCAATTTCCTTCTTATTTTTCACTCAAAAACCAACTCAGTATGTAATTTCTATGTTCGGTGAACATTTTGCCTTACCTGTATACAAATAAATGAATATTGGTATGGCATAAAAGAGTGAGAGAGAGACAGAGAGCCTGATTCGTGTATGTAAATGAAGCTTTTGTTTTCGAATAGAACATGCGATTGCCAAGTACGGCCGCGGTGTGGCATCAATTCTAGTAAGACGTGTCTTACTCCGTGAAATTTAACACAATTGAACCATCAGGGGAATAAACCGCTGCCGTCAGGAAACGGAATCACTAGGTATGGTACTTCGTGTAAGGATTTGAACGAAGAAAGTGAGTCAATACCATCGTTTACGTAGTTACTGGTTTGCTACGTGCGTTTTGTGGAGAAATTGCAATTAAGTTTGATGTATTCGCGTCTGGCAAGCAGCCACACCAAAAAGAAATTGGTTCATCGAGAAAAAACAAATAAATGTTACATTACAACAATTGACAGACGATTCAGAAAAATATCTCACCCGATAAATATAAACGCATTAAAAAAGCTTGAAAACAATTAGTTTTGTAGCAAGACGCTTGTAACCACCAAAAGTAACAAAATGATTGATAATATTTATTGAGGATCGAACATTATTCTTGTCAAGCTTTTATTTTTAACTTGGCAAGGTGCCACCTTACCTGTCATTTAATTCAATAAAATATGAGAAATATGGAAATCCATCAAGTTTAAAATAAAACGTTACATGACAAGAACTAAGTTGCACAATAAAATATAGACAAAACTTGGCTCTTTTTTTATTGGGTCTGTACACGCATGTTTTTTGTTTCTTAAAACGAGTTCATCCAAAATACCTTAAATGACCAGCACGTAAGCCCTGCCACGTATTTATATAAATCTAATTAATTTATACGCCCGATAAATAAAGAAAAGCCAACCTAAATGCCAAGTAACTAACATTATTATTTTGCTTCTTGTTCGTTCATATAAAATTGAAGCTAAGTAGCATTTCTTTTGTTTGAACAAAAAGAAAATTTGTTCTTGTTACGTAGCTCGAGGTAACAAAACAAGAACGAAACATTAGTTTTCGAGAGAGAACGTCAACGGAATAAGAAATGCGAAAAAAAAAAGAACGTAGGTATCTTGTTTTCAAAAAAATTTAACTTCAGCGCAGTACACAAAAATACGAAAAAGCTTTTTTTTACATTAGTGCCTATAGTAGACAACGAACGCAATGCGTAATTATTTCACAGAATTGAATTTCCTCAGGAATAAACATTACAGAAATAATTATCTTCATAATTCAAGATACGGAGTTGTTTTTCACCATGATGTAGGTACCTAATCAGAAGCTTTTATAAACTAGGTCGTAACAGATTATGGTTCATTCGCATTAATAAAACTTAAGGAGTTCAAGATTTGTTTCCAATTACTAGAGCTTTTATGCAGTTTAATATTGCATAAGGGTAGTTTTCACCCTCTTACAGATTCATATTACTTATTATTTGTAATTAGAAATAGCAATTTTTTTCATGAATATGAAAATTCAATTTTCTCAAAAGTAATACAATGTTTCAAGAGCTAGTCTTACGTTAGATAATAAAATGTACGTGGTTCTTCTCGACCGGTTCATTTGCAACATGAAGCACGTTTCAAATTCTGAATCTGCATATGACAATTCCAGGGGGAGAGCGTATTAAATGCCGCATTAGAGCCCGGATATTCCGGAACAGCCTTTTATCGAACGTTATGTGTGTATGTATGCACTTTATGTTTGTACTGTGTGTATAAATCCATCTAAACGCGACGTTTCGAAATGGCTAATAAATACCTCTTCCAGACGCCCATTTAAACGGGTTCCTTTTATCTTTTATAACGTATTGTGCGAATCCGTCTTCTTTATGAGAAAATACAACATTTTTATACCACTAATGTGAAACTAACTTTTTAACAATTTTATGAAGAGGTTTCAAAAAATAATTCTAAAGTTCCTAAATGACGTGTGATTTTCACCTTTTACAAGAAAAGCATAACTGGAATATGAGGCCACATCCGTCACGCGAAATTATCAAACATTTCCTTTGATTTCCCAAAAACACACTTTCGTCAAAATACATGTCATCTTACGACACCCTATTGAGCTTTTTATTATATCACACAAACTGAAATTGGCTTGAACCACAATAAACAGCAAAATTGGACGACTTTAAATTTGAAAATTGTTTAAAAAGGACCCAAAATTATCAAACATTTCCTTAGATTTCCCAAAAACACACTTTCGTCAAAACACATGTCATCTTACGACACCTTACTGAGCTTTTATTATATTACATAAACTAAAATTGGCTTGAACCACAATAAAAAGCGAAATTTGACGGTTTCAAATTTGAAAATTGTTTGAAAAGGACGCAAAATTATCAAACATATCCTTTGATTTCCCAAAAGCACACTTTCGTCAAAACACATGTCATCTTACGACACCCTACTGAGCTTTTTATTATATCACACAAACCGAAATTGGCTTGAACCACAATAAACAGCAAAATTGGACGATTTTAAATTTGAAAATTGTTTCAATAGTTCCCAAAATTATCAAACATTTCCTTCGATTTCTCAAAAACACACTTTGGCTAACTCATGTCATCTTACGACACCTTGCTGCGCTTTTGTTTCATACGTATTCACACTATGGTATTCCTAAATATTACGTAATTTTACAATTTTCACAAGAAATACATAAGCGAAATACAGGGCCGTTTTTGGGGCCCCACAAGTTGGAAACCTTATGCTGAGTGCATCGTTTGCGTCACCTTCGACCCGTGTCTGGGTTTAGGTGTAGCTTTATGTCGAAATTGAGAGAACGTGAGATGAAATGAGTATAAAAAATACTTATCTATGAAGACACTATGCCTAGAAATTCTATCGTCTTCTTTTTGTTTTTATCTTGCAGATTGTAGATTTTACGCGAAACCGTATAATAAGAAATAAGGAAATTATTTTAATACTTTTTCAATTACTTTCTTTTCGAAATTCGTTAATGTATGTTCCACAGTCTACAAAAAGCAGTATTTAAATTTTAATAGCATTCTTTGTAAAACTTCGACAAATTACTGTACTTCCGGCAATTACGAGGGCGTTGCCTTAAAAATCACACACTTTAAAATATCAACAATTTCGGTCATATTCCGATTATTCGTTCAATTTTTATTTACTAGAAATTACAATAAACATTAAATTCTAACATGCATCTTTAATAGTCATTTCTTTCCTGGCCTTTTAAATTACGATTTTACGTGTTATATTATTATTATTAATTACATATAATAAATTATTTGTAGCAAAAAATATCTAAAAATTTGTACCAGTGCACTTTTAATTAATTTGTCTATTGAAATACAGTGCAATATTACGCACATTTATAAAGAAAAAAAGAATGCGCGTAATTTTTGTAAAAAGTTTGCGCTTGTTTTGCGCACAATTATTAAAAAAAGCATGCAGTTATTTTCGAGCAAATTAAACACAGTATTAATTACCTTTTCTTTCTAAATATTCCAGTGAGGAAGAACCTATCAATAACAAACAACAACAGGTGATATTGTATTTCATACATTCACTAACATTTTTCAAATTTTTTCACTAAAACACGCGCGAAAAAAAACTACGCACGTAAAAAAGGCGACCGCAATAATTCGCAAAGTAATAACGATTTTACAAGGTTTTGGAACGGAACTGAATGAAACGCGTTAGCCGGAATATTTCGCAAAATGAAATATCAAACGGTGTGCAACAAGCCTCCTTCTTGTACAAGCGCCGACTGAAAATTTAACATTCGGCGCCTGGTCAAAAGAGATTTACATTCAAGCGACCGCTCTTTCAACTTTCCTACGCCGATCGAATATTTTAGTTCGAAAGATTATTTGTAGAGGACGCTCAACTATTTGTATATACACGTTCACAACCCATAAGTATATTTTATTCAAAAACTTATAATATTGATATAATATGAACTCATGTTAATTTGTCTAAAGTTAAAATACCATGTATTAAAACGAATGAAACCTAAAAGAATAAATAAAGCAGTTTGTATAATAGTGCATACCTTCTAAAGCCTTCTTATTTTAGTTTTTCAAACTTTTGTAGATTTTTTATGGTGTATATAATTGAATAAGTGTACCAAATACAAAAGAAACTAACTGCCTAAATATTATTTAGTTATCTTAAAAGATCTGAAACAGTGACCACTATCATTTCCTAGACAAGACATCACCTCTTCTAGCCACTACCAATTTGACAATTCATAAGAGTTTATAACTTCACATCAATAAGAATTTAGGTTATGTTTGTTTCTCTGTAAAAAGAGAATTATATTTCAGTGCAGTTATGAGTTGACATTATTGAAATTTTAGGATCCTTTTACTGATTTTGAGTGTATTTAATGTAATGATTAAATAACAGTCAGTAATAATGGAGAATAACCAAGTCGTTCTAAAAACACCGAGCATACATGGAGGTTAGTACAGATGATTAAATTTAGAAGTTTGTTATGTCAGCAGAACTAATAAAATGTCTCGTTTCAGAATTATATTTTCTTATACAAAAGTTTTTGTCCACTGGCCCTCTGCAGGACACATACAGGGTAATCATAAAATCAAATTTAAGTTCACCTTAGACACAGCAACACATACATTCTAAGTGATGCTTATATTACTAGCTCTTATAGTTTTATCCTTTTTGATATTGTTTCTATACTATAGAATATTTATTTTGATTTCAGACAATGATTAAGGAACTTGAAACACAACAGGTAAATAAAAAGGAAACTAATTCCATCCATTTGCCCTTATGACATTTGTTTTGTTTACATTTTAGATTTTACCAGAAAGACTAGACTGGACCGGCCAGTTACATAAACGAACTCTGAATGACATGGTTTGTTTCATTATTAAAATGATTAGGTGTGTGCATAGATCATAAGTAATATTAACCTACTTTCCAGGATAAACTTTATCCACATATAGGACCTGATTATATATATAAGATACTTGAGGGGACTTTACAGTTGCTGGAAAAAGAATACCCACCTACTGTAAAGGGTATATTTTCGTTGTTAGGAGCTGGCCAGCAGTCCTTGCTACGGGGCAAAGAACAAAAGTACACATATAATATTCGGCAATATGCGACAGAAAAGAAAGCATTGGCCTCAGTGCAGTCTTACAAAGTTTCTCACAATATTGGTGAGGACTTTTCACCCATAATTGTTCTACCATATATGTAATCTGCAGTACAACTATATTTTTATTGCAGTTAATGTACTATGGGGAAGGAAAATTTCTAGTGTTAGATCACAGTACCTGACGGTTTGCCCTAATTTATACAGTAAAATTTGTATACAAAGACGTACACTTGGCCACCTCTCAGCAGTTTATTGTTTGTTGTTTGATAAGACTGGCAGATATATTTTAACTGTGAGTTAATTAAAGGTACTTTAGTACAGAAGTTTCAGTGTTATAATTTTGTATTTCAGGGGGCTGACGATTTGTTGATAAAGTTGTGGTCGTCGATAACGGGACGTCTTTTGGCCACATTTAGGGGAGCCTCGTCCGAAATCACGGACATAGCAATTAATTTAGAAAATACTTTATTGGCAGCAGGTTCAATCGATAGAATCCTACGCGTTTGGGACTTACAGACAGGAGGACCTGTTGCGGTACTTTCGGGACACACTGGGATGATAACGTCTGTTAACTTTTGTCCCTCTTCACGCTGGGACATTCGATATCTTGTTAGCACAAGCACTGATGGTTCTGTGGCCTTTTGGCTTTATAGTCAAGCTACTGGAGGAAAAGCAAATTTTGTGTATGTTTTGTATTACTTGTGGAAAAACGGTTTAAAAATATTTATGATCGATATTTACAGTTCTAAGCCTGTTCAATATCAAGAAAGGATGCGACCGGGACAAGCTCAGATGATTTGCTCTTCTTTCAGTCCTGGTGGCATTTTTCTAGCAACGGGTTCAGCCGACCACCACGTCCGTGTATATTTTATGAGGGGTGACGAAGGTCCTCATCGAATTTTAGAAACCGAGGCTCATTTGGATCGAGTAGATTCTATCCAGTGGGCCCACCGGGGACTGCGCTTCGTTTCTGGAAGTAAAGATGGGAGCGCCCACATATGGCATTTTGAAAGCCAGCAGTGGAAGAATGTACCTCTTTCACAGTAAGTTAATTGTCTCATTATTGCATTGTATGATTTTCTTAACTAAATCCCTTTAGCACTGAAAATACAGAGGAAGGTAAAAAGATACGTGTTACCATGGTGACTTGGAACTGTTGTGATACCAGAATAGTAACTGCTATTAGCGATTACAATTTGAAAGTGTGGAGGGCAGGTACTGGGGACATGGAAAGGTCCCTGACAGGTCACACAGATGAAATTTACGTCCTGGAGGCTCATCCAAGTGACCCCCATGTAGTCTTATCAGCTGGTCACGATGGTCAACTATTTATCTGGGATATTGTAAGAGGACATCCTGTCAATAGTTTCAAGAACAATCTCGAAGGGCAGGGTTATGGCGCTGTTTTTGACGCCAAATGGTCTCCTGACGGTACCATGATAGCTGCAACGGATTCTCATGGTCATATTACAATTTTTGGATTTGGGAATGGTCACTCTTTATTTAAAGTGGTTAGTAAACACTTGAAAGTGACTTAGAGGTCTTTTTAAATAGTATTTCATCTTTTCTTAGCTCCCCGAAGAATTGTTTTTCCATACGGATTATCGTCCTTTGGTAAGGGATAATAATCACCACGTCCTAGACGAACAGACCCAGGTTCCTCCACATTTAATGCCGCCCCCGTTTCTTGTGGACGTGGACGGGAATCCCTATCCTCCTATGTTACAACGTCTTGTTCCTGGTAGAGAACACTGTCAAACGGAACAACTTATTCCTAATATAGTTGAAGGACTTGAAGGTAAAAGGAATACACATATAGGGTTTATGTTGTTGATTAATGTATTTTTTTTTATTGTGGTTGTAAAGGGAGACAAGAGGTTATCGAGGGACTCCCCGACGAAGAGCCGTACTCAGAAATCGATATAATGATTGCAGCTTTGGCCCATAGACAGTATGGTCAAGAGGGCACAAACGATGCCCAAAATAACGTCAATAACAACCACAACATGGTTAATGGTAATAGTAATAGTAGCAGTAGTAATAGTAGCAATCAAGGAACTTCTTCTTCATCAACATCCCAGGCTAACACAAGTAACAATTCTTCAATACCGACCCTGAGGAGGTCAACAAGTAGAAGGTACAAGATCTCTTTGTTACAGTTGTATTTAAATTTGCAACAACTTTTTGTTGATTTAGGATCGGTGAGGGTGGCATTCGTCAGTCCGTGGGAGAATGGCAAAGGGACCCTAATATCAAATGGAAAGTCAGGGTTCTAGTTCAACCCTTAAAACCATCCGAATTAGAAAAGGAGAAAGCCATTGTGTAAGTAAACATAATAATACTTAAGCTAAAGACATATTTTCTTCATTACTTTTTTTGTTAATTCAGAGATACCTACGGGGCAATGGAAATGGAAGAATACAAGAAAGAGATGCGTAGAAGACCTATAATGATAAATACTGATAATTTGAACACATCTACACACACGCATAGGAGACTGAGGCACCCCAAGAAAGGCAGAATAACGGGGTACCGTACAAGAGCGAATGCTAGTATCGAAGAAATCGAAACAGAACAGGTTAAAAATATCCATTATTAGGTATTAAGTGAGTGAATCTATTAATTTTAATCTTCAAAAAGCAGCCGGCAAACGAATCTGAAAGTCCATCGAGTGGTAACAGTGACGATGAAGAAGTAAACGTTGACGAGGAGGAAGAAGAAGTTTCAAGTGAATCCAGTTCTGCTAGCGAATCTTCGGGATACTCGGATTGGGTGGCAGACCAAGGGGTTAGTTTAGAACCACCCAAACGATCAAAACGAAGGCAGGCGAAAAGGGTCATCATCTCGCCAAACGAAAGCGAAGAAGAAAAAGAAAATACCAAACCTGCTGTTAATCACGTAAATCGATAAAAAAAATCTGTTTTCTAAAAAAATTATACATTCAAATGTTTCCATCAGGTATTGGAAAAAGAGCCACGACCCTCTACATCGTCTACAGTTGTTCCTATACATATACCTAAAAATATGCAAAAAGAGGTGCCTGAAATTTACAAACCGTCAGAATGGCTAGCCGAGACAAGGCCCCGAAAGGCTCCTTATTGTCCCCAAATGGGCGACGAAGTTGTTTATTTCAGACAAGGCCATGAATTATATATAGAAGCTGTTAAGAGTAAATCCATCTACGAAGTGAACACAAAAGATCTTCCGTGGACGAAAATGCAGTTAAAGGTTTTTATTTGATCGCGTGTTAATATATTTATAGTGTTTTAAAATTGAATTTTTTAGGACCATGAGTTCTTAAAGGTAGTTGGAATTAAATACGAAATTCGACCCCCTCGTCTGTGTTGCCTGAAACTCGCCCTTCTGGATCAAACTGGACGTTTAAGTGGAAGCGTTATCACTGTAAAGTACCACGACATGCCTGGTGTATTGGACTTTTTTGTTCTAAAACAAACCTATGATGCTGCAGTTCGAAAAAAATGGCAATCGGGAGACTCGTAAGTTAAGCATTTACTTCAGTTTCAAAAATATTATTGTTCTTGTTCTTGCAGTTTTCGTTGCATGATAGAGGATTTCTGGTGGCACGGCACCATCCTCTCAGAGTCTCCGTACAGCCCGGATTATCCTGAATCAAAGTTTATGTGCTACGAAGTGAAATGGGACAACCATGAAATCGACCGCGTAAGTCCTTGGGACGTGGAAATCATCGACGATAACCGTAAGTACATCTGATACACTCTACAACTTTTAAACTTATACCTATATCTGTATAGATATGCCACCAACAGTGGGAGAAGCCGTACCTGTTCTTCCAAAAGAAATGACTGCGATTTTGTATCAACCCAAACCAGAAGAGTGGCCTTCAGGAGACCGAGAGACAGCTTGCAGACGTATAATTGTGGGACTGGATAAGATAATGGCCCTAGCTATTGCGGAGCCTTTTTTGGCTCCCGTAGATCTCAATCAATACCCTGGATACGCATATATTGTCGAATATCCAATCGATTTGTCAACGATTAAAGCCCGTTTCGAAAATCGATACTATCGACGTATTACTTCAGCCCAATTCGACGTCCGATATCTCGCTACAAATGCAGAGAAATTCAACGAACCCCACAGCATTATCCTCAAAAAAGCACGAGTTATCACTGAATTGTGTCTAAGGGCCATAAAGTAAGTAAAAAAAAGAAAAATAGACGTTTTTAAAACAAAAATAAAATCTTTTTGACAGGAGTTGCTCAGAAGACTTGGACATAGTTGGAATATATCATCAACTAATGGACTCGTACCAGTCTTCAGAAAGCGATGTAGAAGTGAATGTAAATAATTATGGGCCGTCGACAAGTAGATCATTAAGATCTTTAACTACAAGGAGTTTGAGTAAGCCAGAGGACTGGAAGCATGAGGCGAGAGCTCTTTTGGAAGCCATGTGGCAGTGTGAAGACTCTTCGCCGTTTAAGGCCCCTGTAGACCACCTCAAACACCCCGGTAAGAAACTAAAAACAACAAAACGTCAAACAAATAAGTTTTAAACTTATTTTCTCTAGATTATTATCGCATAATTGATACTCCTATGGATCTTGGAACAATAAAAGAAGACCTCCTAGGGGATAACTACGAGACTCCTCACGACTTTGCCAAAGATGTTCGACTCATGTTCCAAAACTCAAAAAATTATAACACCAACAAAAGATCGAGAGTGAGTTAAATAGCCTTCGTCGTAATTAATCTGCCCTGTTTATATTTGTTTCTTGTTTGTATTACAGATATACGCCATGACCATCCGTCTGTCTGCAATGTTTGAAGAGCACATAAGCAAGATAATCTTCAATTGGAAGCAGGCCAAACGACGGAAGACTGTGGGAAGGAAGAAAAGTAGGCGCAGAGTGGCTAAAACGAATGTAAAATACAATAATTCTGACGAAGAAGATTCGGATGCTTCGTACAGAAGGCGAACAGCGACGAGACCGACACAACGAAGCAAGAGCAGAAGTCAAGTCAAAGACACCAAAAACGGCAGTTTGACGAACAACCTTAGGAGATCGAAACTTCTTACACAAAACGGATACGCCGAGCCGGATACTAGTGACAGCGACACCGACGACTCGCCCTCTGACAACCAACCTCTTTCTGTAAGTGTAAATAAGGGTATTAAAGAAAAAGAAGAAAAAAAAGAAGAGAATGAAGAAACAGGCAATAGCAGCAGTAGTAATAGTACTGATAAAAGTAGCAGTACCAACACCAGTAAAAGTGTAAAAAATATTAGAAAAATCGGAAGAAAACCTGAAGGTAGTAACAGCGATTGGTCTGCAGACGAAAAACTGAAAAAGACGCGACGAAAAGAAACCCCGAGGGGAAACGGAAACGGTAACTTCTCCTTAAGTACACGACCGCGAAGGGAACCCCGGAAGCAAAGCGATGAATCAGAAACGGAGGAAGACATTGCAAAAGTGACGAAGAGAACGCGCACAAGGAATACTACCAGAAAATTTGTGGACCTTTCCGATGATGATTCTGTGACTGATGAAGACGATGAACCTTTGAGTAATCTAACACGGGGTAATACCCAGTTAAAGAATAAACGGCCGAAAGAAACGGACAGTTCGGCGAGCGACGAAGGTGTGCGTATGTCTTCGAGAAGATCGGCGAGAAAGAAACCGAAATACGCGGAAAATTCGGACAGTGGTACCAACAATTCGGACGATAACAGTGACGATAGTGATCGAAGGATAGTCACGATAAGTAGTCGGGGGCGGATTTGTCGGTTAACCGCAAGGGCACGTGCCCTTTTAAAAAATTGAGTGTGTTCACATCAGTAAAAAAAGTGTGTATGTAGTAGTAATTATTTTATCGTGTAAATAATTTATAAGTATTTTTCTACGTTATCGTTTTCGACCAATGTCGCTTTAGTTATTATGAAACTAGTAAATAAATGAATAATTAGTGCGTTAGTGCACGACCCAATTTATGTCTACCAAATGGTGATCCGACGCGTTTCGAACTCTCACTCAGGGTTTTCACCGCCGTTGGATTGTTGAAAAGTTTAGTTTTTACATATTCAATTAACATTTTGTCTCGTTAATTAATACGATAAGCTAATAGGGAAGTCATGTACTTTAATCGCTACACATAGATAAGTTTTAAATGAGCATGCAAAACAGAATTGAGGAACAATTTATAATATTCCCTCTCCCCCTGAAGACTGTGACTATTTTATCTGATGTTCAAATAAAATATAAAAAAACAAAAATTAGNATAATGAGGTTACAAGAGGTCACAATAATTAATAATAACGGTGCAATAATTAATATTAACTGTTTAATCAGTTAAAGAAAAGATATTTCTACCAAACGCAAATTCTCCACTATATAAAAACGCCAAAATGTAATTCAAAACAAAAATTATGTACTAACAAAAAGAATATTACATACATTTTTAAACCTATTTGTTTATAAATCTGTGACAGCTTAAACACAGACACTATAACTGTTGGGAGTAATTTTTTGCCACTCATACATGCAAATAATTCAGATTATTGTTGTGATTCGTAATTATTTCTATCAACCAACTTAAACTGAAAGACGAGTTGATTAACACATTAAGCTAGACTTAATCTCTGCGCTTTCTCTTATCCCTATCATCTCTACGGTCTCTTTCGTTTCTTTCAGGCTCTTTACGTTTGCTCGCTCGCTTAGCTTGACTCAAGAACTGATCCAAACCGAAAGGATCGTCCTCTTTTTCATATTGTACTGGACCAGAACGCACCGCAGAATGATCTGTACCGCTAAATTCCTTATCAGGCACAAATCTGGAAGTAAATTCATAAACGTAGGTTCTCTCTGAATAAAACCCCGTTTTAAAAGCTTCCTCTCTTTAGAAATTCGAAATATCTTCTACATCGCGTTTTTCAAACCAAATTAGCAAAACTTAAATCTAATAACTGACCTGTTTGTCCTGACCAGTTTTTCCAAGTCTTCGGCTCCATAAATGTCTTTGTCCACGTTCTTCTTTGGCCTATACAGATGATTAGCCATGGATCCCCCTTCTCTCCACGGTTTATCATAAACGTTATAGGCCTCGTCATCACCATATCCCTGGCCCAAGCCTTGGCCTTGTCCAAAGAGACGCTGATCAAACTGGGTTTCTCCAGAGACTGCACTTCTAGCTGGCATTCCCAATGCAATTTGCTCCGATATGTCACGCTCCCTCTCTTTTTGAAGTTTAGTTCTGAAATATAAAACGCAAATTAAAAACTTTGAAGAAATGGCAAGTAAAAATCGTTGAACCTTTTATCAGGTGCAGCTCTGGCAAGATTTCTTTCTCTAGCTCGTTCCTTATGTCTGTCCTGCCTCAACATTTCACGTTCTTGCTCCTCTGGATTAACATGAGAATCCCCAGGGACATGTAACGTCTTGATACCTGCACGTTCGTCTCGGGCCTTTTGTGCCAGTTGTCTTAAATGCTCTTCTTTCTGTTCTTTCTCTTTCTGGGCCAATTTACGTTCCAATTGGGCTCTAGTTTCGACAGCCTCTCTGGCTTTTCGGTCGGCTATATACAAAGCCTCAGCTAACTTGGCGAAATTCTCATTTATATGAAGCTGCTGCAAACCTCGTCCATCGGCCGCCAATCTTTTGTCTAAAGGAACGGTGTAACCTGGAAAAAGAATTAAAATAATAAGAAAACAAAATACAACAAATGTATCAATGATTTGCCTTTGGCATTTTTCCAGTTTGAAATACAGGGAGGAATTTTCCACTCTTTTTGTTCTTTAACTGTAACTCTTCTTGTGGGACTGTGCAGGACAGGTGCAGGTGGAGAGGGTGGTCCCCTTGGAATTTTCTTGTTTATTTTAAATTTAGGTGGTTCCATTGGATCAACTTGAGCTTCTACCAAACGGATTACTCTCTGCTTGGCCCCAGAATTAAATGCAGCCCCTTGTTGAGAAGGAGTATAACGTATAAATTGTGCTGGGCCCTATAATGTTCAATAACTTAATTAAAAAACCAAAATAAATTACTGTTTTAAAATTAATGTTAATATTCGAAGCTTTTTAATTCAGAATCATAAGTAAAATAATTCACCTGTTTTTCAGCACATCTAACAGGCATTGCAGCAGTAATTTTGGAATTTGTTATTTTCATAAGTGCTTGTCTTGTTTTTTCTGTAATTTCATCTAGTTCTTCTTGTGGTGGTTTACAGAGGCTTGGATCATTCTCGGCAACTACTTCAGCAGGCAAAAGGTCACTTAACTTTGAGTAAACAATTTTGTCTTTTGAATGGCCCTGTCTAGCAATCATATCATATTTAACTTTGCCTTCAGCATCAAGTTGAACTGCTAAAGCATTTGATATGGATTCCTTTCCTTTCTGGCCCATTTCTAAAGGATACTGAGCAACATGGATCTCTGGAAATGCCCCTCCCTCTGCAAAAAAGGACAAAATATAGTAACTGGCAGTACTCTTGCACTTGAAAGAAACTCACCCCCAAAATCAGTGAGTCTTCTAGGTATCCAACCTCTACGTTGTCCATACGGTGGGGCAATGGGTTGAGCAATGACTAAGGCACTTTCATGTATATTTTCTCTTCTCTCATCGTCCCTGTCCCAAGTTATTTGGGATGGGGCAGGCAATAACCTATACAAAATTTGAAAATCACAACTTTGTGTAATTATTTATTGAAAGTACTGTTACCTGGTTAATTCCATCATTGAAAGATTCACCAACACTTTTATATCAGCAACTGTTTTCACTTTTACAATTAAAAAGCACTTATTGTATTTTTTTTGACATAAATTAGACAAACGTGACAGCTTGTTGGCTGTGGCTAAGAGTAAACATGGACACAAGTAAATTGTAATAATAGTTTATCCACACACGAATACCGGCAAAGTAATATTATTTTATGTTTCCTAACCTTTAATTTTATGTTTATAAATAAAATGAACTGAATATTTGAATTCTAAAAAAATGGATTCAAGAAGTATTATAAAGTCAAGTTATTATAGCCAAAGTGATAGAGAAGTGAAAAGGTATTTTAATAAGAAATTTATATTTCGAGGACCATGGACTTTACCACAAAAGGCCTATCAGGAACATATAGTAAACATTGAAGATTTTTTAGACATGAAAAACAAGCTTAACGAAGTCAAATCACAATTAAATGACTTACCATTAGAGGAATGGTCAAAATTTACGAAATACAGAGACCCTTCAGGTTCAGTAATTCGCTCTTTAAGACAATTTGAACCAGAAATATTAACCCAAGTAAGTGGTCCCTTGTTCTTTTAAACAATTACAAAAAATTAGCAAATATTTCAGGCTTGGTGTAAGTTCTACGAGATCCTATCACAATTTCAAATGCTGCCTGAAAGTCAATTATTTGCCACAAATGAACCACTTCAAACACTCCATCTTTGTGAAGCCCCTGGGGGGTTTATTTCTGCTCTGAATCACTTTTTAGCTAAAAATTATCCCAAACTACAGGTATATAACTGTAACTGTTGTGATCTGATTTATTTTAAGAATACATAGATCAAGTCATCAAATTTTTAGTGGAAATGGACAGGATTTACATTGAATCCTTTCCATGAGGGCTTATCTATATCTGAAATGATCCCTGATGACAGACTTATTCGTTATACTCCACAAAATTGGAAATTTGGTCTTGACAGTACGGGAGATATAACACAATATTATAATTACTTGTCTCTTGTTAAGGAAATGGAAGGACAGAAGGTACATCATTAATAAAGTCTAATTAATCTGTTTCATTGTTATTCAATTATAGATAGGCTTAGTGACAGCTGATGGAAGTATAGACTGCATGTTTAAACCTGAAGAACAGGAATCTATTGTACATTTTATTCATTACTGTGAGATAATAACAGCTTTATCTGTGTTATCAGAAGGTAAACTAAATACAGTTTGATTATTTTACATTGGTTACTTTCTGGATTATTTCAGGGGGCAATTTTGTAATCAAAATGTTTACAATGTTTGAACAACCCACCATATCTTTGGTCTATCTGTTAAATTGTTCATTTAGAGAGGTCACAGTCTACAAACCATGTACATCGAAACATGGAAATTCAGAAGTATATATTCTTTGTAGGTTTTATAATGGAAAAGAACACTTAAAGGACCTCTGGTCCTCCTTAAAAGAGGCCTACCAAAATCCAAACGATTTCAACGATCTCGCTCTTTTCACGTGGGACGACATGGGACCAGACTACTTGCACCAAATCAGACAACTTTGTCAATATTTCATGGATATGCAAGTTAGGACCATCAACGACAATTTGAACAATTTTGGAAAGAACCACCGATGTACCAGGACGAACAGGATTAAATATTTAGTAGCCGATTATTTTCTATCAAATTTTGGCGTAGTGAAACTAGAAAATGATAGGAAAATTATACATCCTTCGTTTTTTGAGCAAGTGACGCAAGAAAAACGTTTCTGCTTTCATAACAGGTTTTGGAGGTACAAACCAGAGTGGAAATTTTCGGAAAATTACCATTCACTGTCTAATTTGCATTTAGAGACTGAGCGACGTGATTTGTTAAACATAGATGTAGGAAAAGCTGTTACTAAAGTTCTTTATTCCCCATATTACTCCTGTAACTTATTTCCAGAATTTAATTTCGAAATGTTTCGAAAAAAATCAACAGGAGACTTATATAATCTATGTAAACGATCAATACATTATGACACTGTTATTATAAGTATGTTGGAACTTTCAAATTCTGAAAATAACGTAACATTTCAGAGAAATTTATTTGAAACTATTACATCTAAATTAGATTATGTTAATAAATGTTTAATGTTTGTGCAAGTTCCTTTCGTTACGAATTTCGTTGTTAGTTTGTTGTTTATTTTATCTTTGGCTTTCGAGAATGTTGTATTTCTAAGGGGTGGTACGGTAATTCTTCTCAACCCCACCCAAAAGGGTATCCAAGAAGTTAAAAAGTATTTCAATGTTATTGATTTTGTATACAAATGTATAGATAAGTATTGTTATTTCAAATTTACTGTTGATATATTACAAATAATTTCGCCTTTAGTTTTTGAAAAAAGTCAGTTTTATCGATGTGTTTGGAATTATAATAACAGTTTGTTAAAGTTATATCTTAATAAATAGCTTTCTTATACGTTAGGTGTTTATTTTTCCCTATATCACGTTAAATNTTTACTGTTGATATATTACAAATAATTTCGCCTTTAGTTTTTGAAAAAAGTCAGTTTTATCGATGTGTTTGGAATTATAATAACAGTTTGTTAAAGTTATATCTTAATAAATAGCTTTCTTATACGTTAGGTGTTTATTTTTCCCTATATCACGTTAAATTAATAAGGTGTTGATATTATATATATAAAAAATTATGAGTGCTGTCAGCACACTTCTAGGTATCCAACCTCTACGTTGTCCATACGGTGGGGCAATGGGTTGAGCAATGACTAAGGCACTTTCATGTATATTTTCTCTTCTCTCATCGTCCCTGTCCCAAGTTATTTGGGATGGGGCAGGCAATAACCTATACAAAATTTGAAAATCACAACTTTGTGTAATTATTTATTGAAAGTACTGTTACCTGGTTAATTCCATCATTGAAAGATTCACCAACACTTTTATATCAGCAACTGTTTTCACTTTTACAATTAAAAAGCACTTATTGTATTTTTTTTGACATAAATTAGACAAACGTGACAGCTTGTTGGCTGTGGCTAAGAGTAAACATGGACACAAGTAAATTGTAATAATAGTTTATCCACACACGAATACCGGCAAAGTAATATTATTTTATGTTTCCTAACCTTTAATTTTATGTTTATAAATAAAATGAACTGAATATTTGAATTCTAAAAAAATGGATTCAAGAAGTATTATAAAGTCAAGTTATTATAGCCAAAGTGATAGAGAAGTGAAAAGGTATTTTAATAAGAAATTTATATTTCGAGGACCATGGACTTTACCACAAAAGGCCTATCAGGAACATATAGTAAACATTGAAGATTTTTTAGACATGAAAAACAAGCTTAACGAAGTCAAATCACAATTAAATGACTTACCATTAGAGGAATGGTCAAAATTTACGAAATACAGAGACCCTTCAGGTTCAGTAATTCGCTCTTTAAGACAATTTGAACCAGAAATATTAACCCAAGTAAGTGGTCCCTTGTTCTTTTAAACAATTACAAAAAATTAGCAAATATTTCAGGCTTGGTGTAAGTTCTACGAGATCCTATCACAATTTCAAATGCTGCCTGAAAGTCAATTATTTGCCACAAATGAACCACTTCAAACACTCCATCTTTGTGAAGCCCCTGGGGGGTTTATTTCTGCTCTGAATCACTTTTTAGCTAAAAATTATCCCAAACTACAGGTATATAACTGTAACTGTTGTGATCTGATTTATTTTAAGAATACATAGATCAAGTCATCAAATTTTTAGTGGAAATGGACAGGATTTACATTGAATCCTTTCCATGAGGGCTTATCTATATCTGAAATGATCCCTGATGACAGACTTATTCGTTATACTCCACAAAATTGGAAATTTGGTCTTGACAGTACGGGAGATATAACACAATATTATAATTACTTGTCTCTTGTTAAGGAAATGGAAGGACAGAAGGTACATCATTAATAAAGTCTAATTAATCTGTTTCATTGTTATTCAATTATAGATAGGCTTAGTGACAGCTGATGGAAGTATAGACTGCATGTTTAAACCTGAAGAACAGGAATCTATTGTACATTTTATTCATTACTGTGAGATAATAACAGCTTTATCTGTGTTATCAGAAGGTAAACTAAATACAGTTTGATTATTTTACATTGGTTACTTTCTGGATTATTTCAGGGGGCAATTTTGTAATCAAAATGTTTACAATGTTTGAACAACCCACCATATCTTTGGTCTATCTGTTAAATTGTTCATTTAGAGAGGTCACAGTCTACAAACCATGTACATCGAAACATGGAAATTCAGAAGTATATATTCTTTGTAGGTTTTATAATGGAAAAGAACACTTAAAGGACCTCTGGTCCTCCTTAAAAGAGGCCTACCAAAATCCAAACGATTTCAACGATCTCGCTCTTTTCACGTGGGACGACATGGGACCAGACTACTTGCACCAAATCAGACAACTTTGTCAATATTTCATGGATATGCAAGTTAGGACCATCAACGACAATTTGAACAATTTTGGAAAGAACCACCGATGTACCAGGACGAACAGGATTAAATATTTAGTAGCCGATTATTTTCTATCAAATTTTGGCGTAGTGAAACTAGAAAATGATAGGAAAATTATACATCCTTCGTTTTTTGAGCAAGTGACGCAAGAAAAACGTTTCTGCTTTCATAACAGGTTTTGGAGGTACAAACCAGAGTGGAAATTTTCGGAAAATTACCATTCACTGTCTAATTTGCATTTAGAGACTGAGCGACGTGATTTGTTAAACATAGATGTAGGAAAAGCTGTTACTAAAGTTCTTTAATCCCCATATTACTCCTGTAACTTATTTCCAGAATTTAATTTCGAAATGTTTCGAAAAAAATCAACAGGAGACTTATATAATCTATGTAAACGATCAATACATTATGACACTGTTATTATAAGTATGTTGGAACTTTCAAATTCTGAAAATAACGTAACATTTCAGAGAAATTTATTTGAAACTATTACATCTAAATTAGATTATGTTAATAAATGTTTAATGTTTGTGCAAGTTCCTTTCGTTACGAATTTCGTTGTTAGTTTGTTGTTTATTTTATCTTTGGCTTTCGAGAATGTTGTATTTCTAAGGGGTGGTACGGTAATTCTTCTCAACCCCACCCAAAAGGGTATCCAAGAAGTTAAAAAGTATTTCAATGTTATTGATTTTGTATACAAATGTATAGATAAGTATTGTTATTTCAAATTTACTGTTGATATATTACAAATAATTTCGCCTTTAGTTTTTGAAAAAAGTCAGTTTTATCGATGTGTTTGGAATTATAATAACAGTTTGTTAAAGTTATATCTTAATAAATAGCTTTCTTATACGTTAGGTGTTTATTTTTCCCTATATCACGTTAAATTAATAAGGTGTTGATATTATATATATAAAAAATTATGAGTGCTGTCAGCACAGGGCAAAAATTTCTTATGCTGAAGTGTACGATGTGTTGTATACCTATTTACAAACAATTCCTTTAAATTTTAAT